AATTTAAATAATGAATTATAGGAGTGATCTGGAAAGTTTGGTCTAATTTCATCAAGTTGCGATTGAGTTTTTGACATGAAACATGAGTTAATTGTTTAACGAGCGAAATGGATATCATACTGAGCAAACAAGCTCCGAATTGAGTTTCGATTGAAGGACTATGTTCGTATCATTATTTGTGACTCATAGGAACAAAAATCATCGAATTCCGAGTTCGTATGATGGAGTTAGAGCCATTTTAGTAAAAAGAAAAGTGTTGCAATTTCTTTGGTTGCTGCTGTATATTTTTAGCAGCGTGAACAGTACCCGCGCGGGTGAACAGTGACCACGCGCGTGAACAGTAAACACACGCGTGAACAGTACTTCCGAAAAATTCTGGGCAGTGAGTTTATAAAACACTTCATCCGCGATTTTGGGTCATTTTTCGTCCGAGGTTGATCATTTTGAGAGCTTCTTGATGGAGATTAAAGAGGGATTCAAGGGGGAACGACTTGAGGTAAGTTTCTTGGACTTAGAACTCGTTTTTATTGTGAATTCCACCTAGAGATTCATGAAATATTAGCCTACAAATAAAAAACTAGGGCTTGAATTTTGAAACCAAACAATTAGGATTTGATGGGTCATTTGAACTCGGATTTGGGAGTTCTTGGTATGTATAGACTCGTGGCGAGACAAGGAATCCGGTGATGTTAATTTTCTGATTTTTCGAGACGTGGGCCCGGGGCTCGGGTTTTTTCAAATTCGGGAATTTTGATATTTTTCGATTGCTTTCGATTGGGTATTGTCTCTTTAGCATAATGCGACATATTCGTTGTGATTTTGGGCAGATTCGTCGCACGAGGAGGGTAATTTGAGAGGCAAGGGCATAGCGAGCTAGACTTTGACCGTCTTGAGGTGAGTAATTGATGTAAATGATGTCCTGAGGGTTTGAAACCCCGGAATTTCACATCGTAACGCTATATTGAGGTAACTTGCACGCCGGATAACGGGCGTGGGGTAGAGCACCGTTGGGGATTGTGACTTGGTCCGTCCCGAGAGATGTTTTTACCGTGTTTTCTACTTGAACTAAATTGAGAATCATCCTTACTTGGATTTAATTGTTACATTTGGGCTTCTTGCCAATTATTTGAATCCTTCAGGGATTGATATCACTGCTTTCGCATATTTTGTATATCATTTGACCTCAGTCCAAGGTTTTAAATACTGTTTTGCAAACTCAGCCATCTTTCTAAGATTTGAAAACTTAAATGATATTTCTAAATGATTTTTCGGGTTGAGAACTACTGTTTTACAAATGCCCAAGGGTCTTATGATGATTTCTGGACTGAGCATGGATTGGGTTGCGCGCCGCAGCAGTGTTATAGTGATATTGAGACCAAGAGCCTGGTTGATTACATTGATATTGAGGCCGAGAGCTTGGGAGATTATACTGAGATTGATATGAGGCCGAGGGCCTAGATTTGATGCCACGAGATGGCTTGATATTGCACTTGGGCTGTAGGAGCCCCTCCGGAGTCTGCACACACCCGCAATGAGCGCCGTCGACGATAAATAGATATATGGCTCGGGCTGCACGCCGCAGTGGGGTACTAGAGTGTACCATCAANATGTATACATAGGACCATATGCATGTAATCTTAAGAAAGTAGGAATATTAGATTTCATGTTATCAGTTGGAAGCTCAATAGACGTTAAAAGGTAAAATTGCATCCTTCAGTAAGATATCTGCAAATCAAATACGTATAAGCATATACGTGAAGTTGACAGTTATGTCTTTCCTTAGACTATAGGTGTCTGATTTAATTCAATGAGGAAATCATGTTTAGCCTTAGGGACAGAGATTTTTCAGTACCTCTGTTCATTAGCATAAGCTCTGACATTGGTTTGAGCAGGCTTGTATTTGGGCAAAGGTACTTGGTCATTTTCTATTTGCATAATATCCTTGAGAAGCAGCTCATAGTGTCTCCTCACTTCCTCTGCTGATTTCCCTCCTACACTCCTCGCAATGTTATGCCAGCGATCCGGAGTATCCCTGTCATATAATGCCAACGCCTCCTCAAATCTCTTGTTTTGCTTTGTTGTCCATGAACCCATCACTGATAACTAATTTATTAAGTCAAAAAACAAAAAGACTGAGATGACATGGGAAAGAGAATGCTAAACTCGCTCCTTATAAGCTGGAAGAGAAAGGTTTCGGATTCTTTTTCTTTGAGGGGATGTACACATATTCTGTAGTCAGAGGAGGAGGGAGAATATATAGAAAGGACATACTTACTTTTAATCAGATCTACTGCCTTTCTTGTCTTTTATAATATCCTCAGCAAGTGGATCACCTAGCTAAGGATTAGATTCCATAATTCCAATTCCACTGCCTAAGATAGTTGTGCAAAACCGATTAAATATTACTCCACTTGAAAATTTATACAGATATTCTTCTGCTCTTTCATTCTAAAAATGTTGCTTGATTTATTACATCAAATTTAATAATTTGTTATCCTTTAACTTGTACATCAGTTTCTGACCATGTGAGTACATGGTTTAACCAATATTATGGTCTTTGCCTGAATTAGTACCACAACAACAACGACCCTGTAAAATTTCACTAGTGGGGTCTGGGGAGGGTAGAGTACACGTACGCAGATTTTACCCCTACCCGGAGGGGTAGAGAGGCAGTTTCCGGGCCTGAATTAGTACCACGAGATCACAACGAAATTCCATCTTTCTATACAGCGAACATGTAATACATACACTCAAAGCAAAATGAAAGGGAAGTACGAACCAAAATGAACCAGACATCAATTATTGCAACCTCATTTGGTTTGACAAAATTTTCTTGACCGTGGTCAGATGAGAAATGGAAATTAAATTTGTTGCAAGTTACCTGGTACTTTTTAATGGATCTTGGTTAAGTAGGAACCTAATCAACGTCGTTCTGCACAATTACTAGTTGTGGTAAGACTAAATATCATCCATGTATAGTACCATTAATTTCAAAGTTGAGCAAATATCTTTTATGTTGACACACTACTTTTCCTGTTGATTGTATTTCCTGATCTCGTAAGCTAACCTTGACTAAAAAAATAAAGTTTATCCAAGAGAGTAGAAACTCAATATTCCACATCAAAACTTTATAGTAAAACGGGTCACGAGAGCACATTTAAGTTTACTAAATGCACTGACCTATTACAGAAACCATGATTATATGAAATCTCCGGGAATATGAATTTGGATGGTGCTACCAATTTTGGTGTTGTCTCTATTGTTACTGTTTCAGCTGTCCTGCCAGATATTCATGGTGTTGCAAATACGTTATTGCATCCACAACTTTGGCAGACACTAATGTTCAAACACAGGTATGTGAATAGACATGGTTGCATATCCAATGATAATATTAAAACCTTCAAGAAAAATGCACCTCAATGCAAGAGAAGAGTTGGGATAAATGATAATCTCGCTAAGTCAAAATTAAATTTGACTAAAGCGGATGATATAATTGTTGCGGTCATCTCCCAAATAAATCATGTGGCCAATGTGAGAGATTGGGTGATAGACTCTGGTGCTACTAGGCACATTTGTGCAAACAAAAATAATTTTTTGTCTTACACCTAAATTGAGGAAGGAGAAGAATTTATTTATCTTGGTCACTCAAGAACAACTCGCGTTCTTGGGAAGGAAAAAATCTTCTCAAACTCACATCTGGTAAAACTCTAGCATTGAGTGATGTATTGCATGTTCTTAATATCCAAACCAATTTGGTTTCTGTGAGGTTATTAGGAAAAATTGGAGTAAAGGCTTTATTTGAAAATAATAAGGTCGTATTGACCAAAAATGATATTTTTGTGGGCAATGGATATTGTAACCATGGTTTATTTGTGCTTAATATTTTTGATACCGGCAATAAAAATGCATCTTCTTCTACTTATATGGTTGAGTCAATTTCTTTGTGGCACGCTAGACTAGGACATGTTAATGTCGCGTATATAAAGAAACTGCAGTCGGTAGGATTAATATTTGGTTTAGACTCAAGTAATATTAATAAGTGTGAAATATATGCTGAAGCTAAAAGTACAGGAAAAACTTATTTTTCTATAAATAAAGAAACTGAATTGTTATCTTTAATTCACACTGATTTAGGCGATTTAAAGCAGACTATGATTAGAGGTGGTAAAAGATATTATGTGACTTTTATTGATGATTTTTCTAGATATACTAAGTTGTATTTGCTTAGAAATAAAGATGATGCATTTAATACTTTTATTTCTCATAAAACTGAGGTTGAAAATCAACTTAGTAGAAAAATCAAGAGAATTAGATCAGATAGAGGTGGAGAATATTTATCTTTAAATGAATTTTGTGAAAATAATGAAAGTATTCATGAAGTAACTCCGCCTTATTCACCTGAGTCAAATGGAGTAGCTGAAAGAAAAAATAGAACATTGAAAGAGATGATGAACTCTATGTTAGTTAGTTCTAATGCTCCTGATAATTTGTGGGGTAAAGCTATTTTATCTGCATGTCACTTACAAAATAGAATGCCACATAGAAAAACAGGTAAAACACCTTATGAATTGTGGAAGGGTTATAAACCTAATTTGAAATATTTAAAAGTGTGGGGGTGATTTTGTGACGACCCGACCGGTCGTCTTAAGAATTAACTCCCCGATCCCCTATTAACTGCTTTCCCCGTATTTATTTCTGCTAGTTTGAATTGCCAAGATGTTCGGTTTCGAGTTTCAGAGAGTTTTGGGATACTTAGTCCCTAAATGATAGCTTAAGTGTTGGAAATTTGACCGTAGTCAGAACAGTGTGAAGACGGTCTCGAAATAGAATTCCAATGGTTCCTTTAGCTCCGTTGGGTAATTTCGAGCTTAGGGGCGTGTTCGGATTGTGTTTTGGAGGTCCGTAGCTAATTTAGGCTTGAAATGACAAAAGTCGAATTTTGAAGTTACTGGTTCGATAGTGAGATTTTGATTCGAGGGTCGGAATGGAATTCCAGAAGTTGGAGTAGCTCCGTAGTGTTGAATGTGACGTGTGTGCAAAATTTCAGATCATTCGGACGAAGTTTGATAAACTTTTTGATCGAAAGCGTATTTTTAGAGTTTTGGAGTTCATAGGCTTGAATCCGTGGGTGATTCGTCATTTCGATGTTGTTTTAGGTGTTTTAAGGATTGGTATAAGTTTGGACAGTGGTATTAGACTTGTTTGTGTTTTTGGTTGAGGTCCTGGGGGCCTCGGGATGATTTCGGAAGGTTGTTGGAAGGATTGGGAGTTGTTGAGCACCTGAAGCTACTGATATTCTGTCATAACTGCACCTGCGGTTGGGTCCCGCAGGTGCGTAGCCGTAGAAGTGGCATTGTCATCGTAGAAGAGGAATTGGGCAGGAGCAGCAGGATCTGCAGATGTGGGAGATTTACCGCAGAAGCGGTACCGCATCTGCAAATGGGGAATCGTAGGTGCGGAGAAGGCTGAGTTAGTTATTGTTGTAGATGCGACAGGTTGATCGCAAAAGCGAGATTGCAAGTGCGGTCCCATGATCGCAGAAGCGGATTAGCTGGGCAGAAATATATAAATTCTTGCCTTCACAAATTTAGCCATTTTTCACCTTATTTCAAAAGGGAAGAAGCCTTGGGGAGCATTTTCAAGAGGGATTTTCAGAGGAGTTCATTGGGATTTGGGCAATTTGAAGTCGAGTACTCGTGGCAAGAGCGTGCTTTCAGATTGATTTGAGCTGGTTCAAGGTAAGTGGCTTGCCTAACCTTGTGTGGGGTATCTTCTCCTTAGGATTTGGTATTATTAATAATAGAAATGCCTTGTACGTGAGGTGACAAGTGCGTACTTGTGTTAATTGTTGGAAATCCGATTTTTATTAAGTAATTACTAGTATGTTTCCTTTCCTCTTTTTATTACTTGCACTATTAAGCCTGTTGTTAGCTTAGGTAATCATGTTTAAGTGATATAATTATTTTATTTGCTCAAACTGCTTTACCAGAATTCTGTGTAGCATGCTAGGCTAGAATTACTTGTTTTCCTTAATATAAAATTTGACATTTCTGAATATTTTACTATTGCTGCTGTGTATTTACATTGGGACTACGGATGTGGGATTCCGGTAGATCCCCTCCCCCTTGTCTGTTACATTTTGTACTACGGATGTGGGATTCCGATAGACCCCCCTACACAGTTATATGAAACTACGGGACTGCACCTGGTAGATTCCCCCAGTATTGGGTATTTACATTTGGGACTACGAAACGGGATTCCGGTAGATCCCCGCACACTATGAGTTAGAATACGGGACGGTATCCTGGGAGACCCATTAGATATGTACATTTGGGACTACAGGACGGTATCCTAGGAGATCCTCGATTGTTATTTTGGTGCTGAGCTGTATTTCTTTCTGTGTTTACCTTGCCTCTGTATTAGTTGTTGCTGCCCTTTATATCTTGTGTTACTTTTACTGCTGTACTTATTTATATTGTTATGTTCTACACTGTCAAACTGTATATTTTATTTAACCTCAGTAGGGCCCTAACCTTCCTCGTCACTACCCGACCGAGGTTAGGCTTGGCACTTACTGAGTACCGTTGTGGTGTACTCATGCCTTTCTGCGCATGTTTTTCATGTGTAGATCCAGGTACTTCGACCCAGTCCTATCACTCTTGAGGCGAGGTGACTGTTCCAGAGACTTCGAGGTATATCTGCCGCGTCCGCAGACCAAGGAGTCCCTTTCTACTCTCCCTATTATATTAGCCCTTTTGCATTTCTTTTCTTTGTTAGATATTCTAGAGTTAGACACTGGTAGATATTCCAAGGCTTGTGGTTTTATGAGATTCCGGGTTTTGGGAAAATGCACTAGTTCTTGAGAGTTAATGTTGTGTATGCTAAGCGACACTTTTAAACGCTGTTTTATTACACTATTTCTATTTAAATTGTTTATCTTCCGCAAATTTGGTTTATCTTTCGTATTTTAGGCTTACCTAGTTGTAGAGACTAGGTGCCGTCACGATGGTTCACGGAGGGCGAACCAGGGTCGTGACAAGTTTGTATCAGAGCTCTAGGTTCATAGGAGTCATGAATCATAAGCCGGTTTATTAGAGTCTCGTTGATCGGTACGGAGACGTCTGTACTTATCTACGAGAGGCTATGTAACTGTTAGGAAAAATTCCACTTCATTTGATTTCCCTGTCGTTTGAGATTTTGACATCACAATTCTAAACTTCTGTCTTCTATTCTCTCACAGATGGTGAGTACACGCGCTACCCAAGATGATCAG